CCATCACGGATCTGTCAAGACCTGTCCTTGATGGTATTCAACCCCCCGATGCACGGTCATTGATGTCCAGTGTTGGGCGGTCATGATAGACTCTCATCGATGACCGGTTATGACCGGTCATCGATGGGGGCATTTTGGGGGAGTTACTCCCATCGATGACCGGTTATGACCGGTCATCGCTGGGGGTGTTTAAACCCATTGATGACCAGTCATAACCGGTCATCCAAGGGGGTTGTTTATTCCCATCAAGGTCCAAACCGGCCCTTGATGGGAGGCTTACCCCATCAAGGACTGATTGAAATCAGTCCTTGATGGGGGTGTTTATCATCCATGGGAGATGTACTCCCAGTCCCATGGATGACTGGGTGTATTGATGGGGCGTGTAGAGTCCAAGGGGTTGAGACGAGGTCACAAACCCCTTGGATACATGGCTAATTTGGCGGTTAGATTCAATTTTCACTTTGGCCATTCTGGCGGTTCAGGGCCGTCATTTGGCGGTTATTTGGCCAAAGTGGCGGTTCATCCCCATGTTTTCATTTTTTTTGGCCAAAATGGCTTTTCAGTACCTCCATATCAAGCATATGTTGATCTATTTTATTCATTCGATATCATTTTTCTCAACCACATGTTAGACATCTGTATGTAGACTATTTAACGCGTAGTCTCCTCTAAGTAAAAAACACATTGGCTATCTCACTCCTTTTCCGACCCTTGAGCCACTCCAACAGAAACCAAATTTTTGTTGCCCAAAAAATTTTCTGTGTCTTTTGGCTAAAATTTCTTCAATTTTGGCCCAAGCACACACCAAGGGTGCACCCAGACTTTTTCAAGGCGACTGAGGGCATGCTTGAAAACATCTCACATTGCCTATGTTGAGAACGTCTTCAAGACAAAGAAACGTTTGCGTCTTGAAGTTGACTTCCAGACGGCTTGCACAACAACTGGGAGCCAACTCAGAACTACACTGGTTTACAAGTTGCTTTGAAAACCAGTTTTTTAAGGTTGTTTGGGTCCAATTCCTTAGATTGATCTGAGAGTTGTCTTCATAACCCAATTTTCAGAACCAATTGGGTTCTGAATACAACTCAAAAACTCCAATGGTTCTTGAGAACGACTCAAGAACCACTGGGTGCACCCATGGTGTACGCACAAAATGTTTATTAATGAGCCCAACTGTGCCATTCCCTGGTGCCCCCCAATGTATGAATTTAGTCAAACATCCAGGATTTTCTTCCCTCACATTTATAGGGGGTTTACAGGGTCCTGCTTTGCCTCTCTGACTACCAATGCAGGAAATAGATTAAGAGATAAATGTCAATTTATACAACATCTTTTCCACACACCGCAGGAGTGATG